CGCGGAAAAGCCCAAATATGGGTTCTTCATGGCGAGAAGGCTCCGAAAACGTGAAAAACTAGAAGACGAATTTCTGCCGGGACATCGTCTTCAAGACAAAAATCCATAAGCGATACTCACCTTGACTGGCGATCTCAAGTGAGCCTCAGCTTTATCTTTTAACTTCGTGAGAATCATCGATGAAATCTCCTCGGGAGTCAAGGTCGTAACCTCTCGTTTGTAATCAACTTGCACTATGGGCTTGGAGGCTTTGTCTGAGACGACTTTATATGGCCAAACTGTTAAATTGCGTTGTACTTCATAGTCATCGAACTTTCGCCCGATGAGTCGCTTAGCATCTAAAAAGGGAAGATAAACATACGGCAGGCACAAATTCAAATATTCTGCTGGAATCATTATTTGTCCCTGAGTAGTAAAACGTAAAGGAAAGAAGCTTTGTTACAAGCTAGCCCTACAGAGGGTGGAAAAGAACTTATCGTCGATTCGTAACACACAAAAACCGGGCGCGCTTGCGTCCGACAAAATAGTTTGTGCCTGGGAGAGACGCAGATGGTAGGAGAAACAAAAGAAGCGCGCGATGTGAGACGACGACACGTCCGCAGTCTTTGTGTGCTACGAATCGACTATAGCTTCTAAAACAGGCAGGTATGGGTGCATAGGGATCGCGCGTGAAAGTGATTTGGGAGTTCTAACTAAGGCACACACTTTATTTGTTCCACTTGATTCCCTTAATCTGCTCTATCAGTTCGCTATTGGTCAAATCAGTGAACTGACCAGTAGCGAAATGAACTAAGTGGATCAGTGGGTCGAAGGCAGTGGATAGGCAAAATGGACCCTCAGATTTTGGCGGAGTCAGGTTAGACCCCCCACTACACCGTAGCCAAAATCCCACCTGCCAATTAATGCGCTAAGTCTTGAGAAATGCGCTTCAAAACTCCACCAGTCCCACTCACTTCCATTGAGCGGACGTCATTGGTGGAGTTTTGAAGCGCACTTTTCAGGACTTAGCACAAGAATTGGTAGGTGGGATTTGGGCTACGGTGTACTAGGGAAGTCCACTACTTAACTCCACCAAATTCCGAAAAGGGTCCATTTTGCCTGTCCACTGCCTTTAGACGTAGTGTTTACATCCAAGTCGTTACACAATGGTACACTTGCGGCGGCGATATTGCGGCGATATTCATCTCCAAACTAGACAAGCTACCGTATAGGGGGGCGACTTGCATCGGTTTGCATGAGTGTGCGTGCGGGAGGACTCATCTCGCTTGTGATGAGCCCTCGGTAAAAGCATATCAAGCCGTGCACCGTCAAATCATCGACCGCACCAGATTTCTACCCTACAAGTCGTGCCCTTGTAACATTTCAGTCGTGCCGCTCGTGCTCCGCAACCTACCGCAAGTGCGCGTCCATCAAAAAGGGGACTTCATGCCTAGGCACTGCCTACAATGATCTAGCACTACCAGAT